GGTAAACCGCAGCATATCAGTGTGAAAGTATTCCTAGACTACTATGGCCAGTCTACTGCTTCACACCACTCTGGAGACCACTAAAAGGGATAAAAAGGTCAAGTGCAGTTGGTATCACTCCGCATGGGACAGGAGCCAGAACTACAGATTAGGCATCGGCTTATGTGTGGCTCTTACTCATTCGTACAGCTCCAACTTTACCAGTAGTCCCTCTGCATTGCACTCTGATGATCTGGGATGGCGTGTCAGCTAGCCCAGACTGCGATCTACCAGTCACCTAGCCATGATCTAATGGCAGATCGCGATCTATGGGTTGCTGACCCCCGATATAATGTATACAGTGCAGCAGGGAGCCCATGTTCATATGTAGTGCACTGTGTTAAACAAAATAGTTTTGTGTCCCCCTGTAAAGACATATTAAATTGGTTTCTCACAGCCTAAAACAGTAGTGCTCAAATTGCTAGACATACAGGACCTCAGTTGTGGCCCCTGATATTACCAAAGTGTTGAATATTATAACAAGCTATAATCCTACAAAAGGGTGTAAGATTGTGGACAAGTTACATGAGACTGCTAAAAGTTACCGCCATCATTGCTCCTTTACGAATCAATGCTATATTTAAAGCCCCCCACAGATTCTGGGTGCACACACATCTGAAGTTCTCCACAACTCCATACAAGTTACATATAGTTTGGTGATGTCAGATATGCTGCTGTCAGGGTTTACGTACCGCTTTTACTAGTTCCTGCATCATGAGGGAGAGCGCTGCATATAGACTATACAATCAAAAGTTTGTGGACACCTGACCATCACACCTACATTATACGAGTTTGTTAAATAAGCCATTTCAAAACCATGAGCATTGATACACAACTGAACAACACTTTGGGGCTATAACAGGTTCCACTGGAAAGTGTCTGTGGGAATTTGGCCCACTTCCTAAAATGAGCATTTGTGAGGTCTAGTACTGACACTGAATGAGAAGGTCTGGCACGCAATAGCAATTTGAGTATATCCCAAAGATTTTCAATAGGGTTGAGGTCAAGGCTCTGTAGGCAACTCAGGTTCTTCCACACCAATCTCATCAAGCTATATCATTTTGGACCTTACTTCTGGGTACAGTCACATCGTAAAACTGTAACATTAATAAGAACCTTCATTGGAAACCCCTGCAATCAATAATTAAGAGGGGGTGTCACAAGTTTTGCCATATACTGTATTATGTGGGATTATCAGGTGTTCATAAACTTTTGCTCATATAGTGTATATTTTAGAGAACATTTAGTGTGGGTGGTCACTCCATGATAATGGTCCACCTCCAGCACTGCTGCTATTGGGCTGTCAGAATATTCTTCGTAGTGCTTTGCAGCCACCATCATACTGTTTACAATGCATCATGACTGCACTACTGGGAATATCCAGAAGGCGGCCAGAACTGGATTGGTCTTTTGGGAAATGGCCAACAGCTAGTATATATATTTTTATGTGTTTTTACATTCTAGTCTAATGTAGTGCACTAATGTGACCAGTGGGGCATCCTGGAAAATGCCTCTAATGCCAGTGAGTGGTCTTAGAGACTGGACAGGACAGCCTGTGCTTCCAACGAATAATCAGGAATATTTATATCTGCCTAAAAAACTCTGTGTTATAATGGTGTAGTTTGCATGCTATGTTTGTTCTGATACAGCTCTATGTGATAGTGGATAGAGAAGAGATGTCTTCTTTAAACACAAGAGCAGGTCAACAAAATTAAACAAGTCATCATACAAATTCATGTGTAATTCAGTCCTTACATTCATGATTTAAGGATGCAGATTAAGCAAGTACACATAATTTTCTAAACTGTACTATAAAAAGTGAAATAAAGCAAAAGTGTAGATTACAGTAAATAACATTTGCAATACCCATCAATCACACTTACAAAAGTCCACATGTTGTAATTGTAATAAAATGTTAAAATTGAATATTTAAAACAAAAGCTTTTCATTAAAAACCATCCACATTTTACTGCACCATAAAATAACACAATATGTAAACAAATATAATTTAAGATAATGCAAGCGAACATAAAAAAATATTTATGTACATATTAACATCACCAGACCCAAAAACACACACACTTCAGTTACATGAAAGAAGACTATTAAACAGGGAAGGGAAGTCAGAACATGTAAGAAGGTGGAGGATCAGTCTCAGCAGAGTTCTTGTTTTCACAGGTAATCTGCACACAGGAAATCAGTATGCACTTTATATTGCACATGCCTAAGCCGTGAAATTGAGCTGTGCTGAACTCAAGCATGGTGTGAAGCTCTGTGTCCACACCGCAGGCTTTGATGGACCCCTAAAGAATAAAACAGGACACAACTTTGTTTGAAATTTGTGGAAGGTTTCAATATGAGTAGTTACATTTGTTAAATATGCCTTCTGAAAATATACAGGCTACCTGGCTATCATGCTGGTCCAAGTGCTTCAGTAATTTGAATCACTGCCCAGTGATATATATGCGGATAAGAGCGCTGACTTATTTATGATTTTCCTGATCAGAAATCTTCAGTGACTCAAGTCATTGATCTGAAATAAATTCAGAAGTATTGAAACCAAAAGACAGCCAAGTACCTTGCATATTAGAAATAAGCAAAGCCATCCCTGCTGGCCTTTCTGATATATATATGTAAAACGCCGCGTAAATTGACGGCACTATATAAGTACCTGAAATAAATCAATCATTACAGGTTTCCTCTAAAAGGGAATGTACAGTCTTTTTTTAATCAGCTTGTTGTAAATCTTATATAGATTATGGTTATACTTGTACATCGGAACAGCTATATTTGTTCATTACATAAGCAATCACTATGCTTTCTGGCTTTCTAGTACAACTCTACATTCCATCTAGACTCACTGAAAACAATGCATTCTCTATGTGACAGATATATCAAAAGTTTAAGTACCGTATTTGCCGGCATATAAGGCGACTGGGTATGTAAGAAGACCCACTAATTTTCTAGTTAAAACAGGTTTTGGGCTATACTCGCCATATAAGACTACCCCCCTTCCGAGGCAACACCATTTAAAAACATCAGATTTGAATAAACATTAGATTTGATTAAATATACACCCACTAATCTGTCAGCCCATTGGATCTGCGGTAATACTGTATGTACGGTAGCTTTGGCTACATACAGTATACCGCGCTGAGCCAATCACGGCGAGTGATGTATTCTATTAATGAGTCAGAGGCGGGCTGATGATGTCACAACCTCAGCCAATCTGAGCAGGCTTTGTATTCATTAATCGAATACATCGCTTGCCATGATTGGCTTAGCACAGTATACTGTATGTAGCCAAAGTATTACCGCACATCCAGTGGGTTGACAGATTAGGGACATTCGTTTTGAGAGAGCTTGGCCCAAACAAACTAAAGGTTTACATTGTATACCCCACGTACAAGACGACCCCCCGCTTTTTGGGGTATGTTTTTAAGTATAAAAAGTTGTCCTCTACGCCGGAAAATACAGTACAACCCTCACCTTGTAAAGCAACCCATTCAGTTTCAAATAGAAGTGAAATGCAAAACATTTGTTTATATAGATATAAAAGAAGAAAGTATATATTTTTTTTTTTTAAGTGATCACATAATCTCGGTTCTCAGGTGCATAAGGGACTTGGAAGACAGCTAGATTAATCTTCCAGCACAGCCATAAAACTAACCACACTAGGAAGAATGTGCTTCCCTGCCTAGTGTGGTCAGTGTGAAATAGGAAAGCAGGAGGACTGACAGGATCACCAAGTATTTCACACAAAGGAGGAAATACAGAAAGAGCAGGATACTTATCAAGTACATGGTACAACAGACATAACAGAAATATGAAATGCTGGGGTAATATATTCTTTAGGTACACCTGCAATGACACTCTTCTAAAAATGATAGTTGATGTTTGGCCAATCCATTGGCTTCAGTACTTTCAGTAAATTACCTGGAACAAGATTAGAAATGCCAGATTAAAGTCTGTGACTGCTACTCAGTGTACTGAAGAAACAGGTATGACAGCCATGCAAAAATAGCATTTTCAAATGGAGAGGTGAGCAACTGCAATCTTAACCAACCCATTCTCAGCCATTGTAGTAAAACGACTGTTAGGGGGAGTGGTTATTCTGACAGGCCATTCAAAAACTGCCTTTTTTATGTTGGCGCATGCACCATACTGCAACTGCCACTGTCAGACAGCAGACAACATAAGCAAAATGGCACTGAGACAATCAGAGGGACTCTGTGCCTTTTGATTGATGTGATAGGCACCCACAGCAATCACAAATGTAAGGAGTAGTGCTGTTTACACAAGAGAACCTGCTCCATCCTCTCACAAGGGAGGAAGGCAAAAGGAGGATTTGTTGACTAACTACGGCAAAAAAATAAGATCCACCCCTTGAGGGTGTGCATTTTCCAAGAAGAGGTCATGTCAGGGGTGTTTTTATAATGCCCTGGTATTTTTATTTTACATGTTTTTTAACATAAAGTAAGGGAAATATGTTTGTTTACTAGGGTTTACATTTAAATGAAAGCCTACATTTTGTGCACCTGTCTTTTTTAGGTGGGGACAGAATTTGTTCTAGCGCTAAAAAGGATAAAACCATTTCACCAGTTACATTTTAAAAAAGGAAACTGTTAGACTCATAAAATAAGGTGTATTTTAGAAACCAATATATGGGCATCCATACTTCATTGTACTGGATCAACTATATTCATAAAAGTAGCTGCTTCATGAAAATAAACACAAACATTCTTAATAGTGTCTAAAATCGACTTTTTAAAGGCTCAAACATCTTTAAAAATAAAGCTGTGTCCCCCAGCAATCATCTTCAGTTCTGAAGATATGTAGTATTTTGCAAAACACATTTGCAAACAATGATCCACATGAAACTACTATAAGCAATAGTCTATGAAAAGTTCATCATCCACATTAGCCATACCAATGCAGAACGTGAGAGTGACAAAGGAGAATCATTTAAGTTGGGCAATTTCCTGCAAGAATGGGATACCAAATGTTCCAGAATACTGCTGCTCGGACCACATCGGAACTTCATGTTGAAGAGGAGTCCTCTTTGGATAGAAAGTGTGATGCAGATCATAGTTCAGTAAACAGCTAAGAGATTCCATGTAGATATCAGCGAAAAACGTGCCAGCCGTCTCAGAAAATAGGTTGGATTATGATCCGTCCTGAATATACTTCCAAAGCGAGGGTTAAAAATTTTCCTCGCCATGTCCCTATAGTACAGAAACACAAAAGTCAGACATAGCAGAGGTGATGTTTTTCAACCACCTTTCCTTAAAGGGTAACTCCACTTTTGCTGATCTATGTACAGTGCAGGGATTTTAACAAAAACACTTTCAGTTGCAGATTCCTACCTTTTGGTATTCTGAAGGAATATGTCTATGTGCAAAGTGAATCTGTATAGAAGTAGTTTTAGAATGACCAGTCAGCTGCTACACCTGCAGGGTTCTAATCAGGAAATTGGCAGGGTCTGAATCTCTTTAGACATGATTTCCCTTTTGGAGTTTGCAGCGGATGCCCAAAATCTGCTTTCTTTCTATCTTAGTGCAGACTACTGGGAAAATCAGTGAGCCAATCACACAAGCAGGAAATGATATTTGGGGGGCATTCTGTACACCATCTGGGTACAGAAAGCCTCCAGGTAGCCATATTGCATTATAGAGAAAATTGCGTCGCAATTGTATATGCCATTATATCTTTTTTTTATTTGCCAATTTTTCCTCCCACAAAAGTGGAGTTACCCTTTAATGTAGAAGTGCAGAAGTTACAGGTCAGTACCAAAATAAACATGTAAACAATTATTAGGGAGCCACAATTACCAGCATACATTCTTCTAAAAATAATCATCTTTGGAGTCCAAATAGATCTACAAATCATTAACCAAAGTCACTGAAAAATGTCTATGAACCCCTAAGGTTACAGATAAATGATTAAGTTAAATACAGACCTCATTTCTTGTCTCTCTTTTATCCAGTCTTGCAATATCATCTGTGACTCAGCATCTCTGTATACCTGTAAAAAAAAAAAAAAAAAAAAGAAACACTTTTGAACACCATAATCCACAATGTACTAAATGAACATAAGAGAGGATGGAATACATGATATAAAGAGGAGAGTAGAATGTGGAGCTATGTTTGTACTGTACAGCATATTGTATAAAGAATATCCATGTGATACTCCCAGCACTCCACTTTTAAACTCAGCTGGCTGGACCATTTGTGCAAATTTTCCATTGCTTTTTTATTTTTCCCTTACAGCTTTCAGAGCTTGTAAAAGACCCCCCAAACCATATATTTTCTGAAAGCACATGACCAGTAAAATAAAAAGGTGTTACTGGTTAAGGCCCCATATTAGCGCAATCAAAGCAATATTTTAGTTGAAAATGCACTAAAATCATTATTAGCAGATAAAAACACAGCACATTTTACAAAATCCCTGCTAAATATAAAACGCTTAAGGTGTTACTAAACCCACAACAGTAAAATCAGCCTGTATATGCAGTAAAGCATGCTTGTTATACTCATTGTGGAACCTAAGGGGTTAATCCTCTGCATAGTGTAAAAAGGCTGTTTGATCCTTTTTTCTCTGATCCTCTTTTCTCTGATCCTCCCCTTTTTCAAGTGACTACCTCTTCTCTCCAGACTGAACCATAGGCATGCACATGCTCAGTTTGGTGAGTATTGTTAGAGAGATTTTTTTTTCCTGGGAGAGTGCATGTGATTAGCACAGGGCCAATCATCACTGTCCACACAGAATACAGGGGATTTTCATCCTCCAAGAGCAGAAAGAAAGCTCCTCCTACAAGCTTTAGCTAGTGCTGGGCTGGACACAGAGCAGTCTTTTGACTTCTAACTTTTGATGAGAAAAAGGTATTTAGCAGTTTATATTTACTAAAATAATTGCACTTCCATATTGTGTGTACTGTGGATGACCAGATATTGTGAATGCAGGGTCCTGGGTTTAGTAACACTTTAACCTATATTGAGATAATAAATAACAAATATTTGTTAATTTTAAAAATTGCACCTTTTTGTGAAACGGTGACAAATTAAACAAACATACGCCAGAACGTAAATATCCAAATTTCTTTGAAAGCTGTAAGTGAAATCCTCCAGATTTTTTTAGAGTTTAGAAAAGGCCCCCCAAACCATATATTTTCTGAAAGCACATGACTAGTAGAATAGAAAAAAAAAGAAGAAGAAACTGCTACTGATTTTTAAGACCCCACGATATTTGCACGAATGTTTATCAAACAATATAGCTTTGCTAAAGTACAATAAAATCATTAACAGAAAAATAAAAACAGCAAATTGTACAAAACGCCTGCTAAATTCCTACTAAATATAAAAGCTTAACCTATGTTGAGTTAATAACAAATATTTGTAAATTTTAAATTGCGTCTTTGTGCAAAATGGTGAAAATCAAACATATGCAAACTTCTCTAAAAATCTGGGAGGTGTTCATTTTTTTCCTTACAGCTTTCAGAGTTTTGTAAAAGACCCCCAAACCATATATTTTCTGAAAGCATATGACCAGTGGAATAAAAAGAAGGTTCTTCTGATTTTTCATGCAATATTTGCACCAATGTTTTCAAATCACTATTTTTACAAAAAAAAAAAAAAAAAAAAAAACCCACACTAAACTCCCTAATCACACTCACAAACACAGCATAACTTACAAAACTCTTGCTACATTCCTAAGGCTTCGTTCACATGGGGTACACTAAAGCGTACGCCTATGACGGGTCGTGTTTACCTACACAGGTGTTGTGTATCCCTGTCCAGGCAGTTCTATTTGTGTCTGTGTTTGGGGTCAAACACCTACACATGCATAAACAGTGGGGGAGATTTACTAAAGCTGGTTCACTCAGAATCTCATGCACCTGTGCATGGTAGCCAATCAGCTTCTAACATTAGGCTCTCTTAGTGAACCTTCTTTAGTAAATAAAGCTCCGTAAGCAGCCATAAGCAGTAGAGGGGGGTGTTTAACCTCCAGTCCACCATCTCTGGCACTTTGTTCACAGCCAACAATCATTTTTTTTTTTTGCTAGAAAATTACTTCGAACCCCCAAACATTATGTATTTTTTTTAAAGCAAAAGGCCCTAGAGATTAAATTGCTGGGTTTTGAAAATTTTTTATGTCACTCGGTATTTGCGCAGCAGTTTTTCAAACACAATTTTATGGAGAAAAAAAAAAAAAAAAAAAAGGATATTAATTTTTATTGAAAAAAAAATACAAAACCCATTTTTCTTTTGTAAAATATAAGATGTTACACCGTGTAAATAGATACCAAACGTGTCACGCTTTAAAATTGCACATGCCCGTGTAATGGCACCAAATGTAAATTTTACAATCCATAGGCGACACGTTAAAAGCATTTACAGGTTACCACTTAAGATTTACAGAGGAGGTCTGGTGCTACAATTACTGTCCATAATCTGATGTTAGTCATTCGCTGTTTGCGTGCTTGTGGGACCGATGCGCACATTCGCCTTTGAGCATGAGCACAGGAGGATGGGGGACCCTTTAAATTTTTTTTTTACACTTTTTTTTTAATCACTGTTATTGCTGCCACAAGCAACGTAACATCCTTGTGACAGCTACTATTTAGGGAGAGATCTGGGATCTATAAGACCCCAAATCCCTTCTCTACCTGGATGGGAAGCCACTTTGATTACTATTACAAGAGAGCCAACCGCCGGCTCTAAAAAAAAAAAAAAACTGTACCAGTGTGATGCCTGCAGAGGTACAAACATCGAAAGTCCAAAGACGTACCAGTATATCGCTGGACAGGAAGTGGTTAAATGCCTCGCTTTACGTCCGCAGCAGTTGACCTGACTTGTAGTGATGCTGCCTTCCAAACACTACACATTCAAGTATGAGAAAGTGCCACAAAGGCCCTGCAACTGCGTGCAATGCATTTATCAGAAAAAAAATGGGGTTAAAACAGGTAGTGAGGAAGCATTGAATCGTTTTGTCACCACCTGTTAATAGCCTCTGGAGCTTGAATTTAACGTGGATCAGGCTTCAGCAGTAAGAGATTTAGTCGCACGTAATAATTTTAAAATTTAATTTTTTTGTTTTTGTTTTTTTTTGGGGGGGGGGGGGGGGGGTGGAGAGATATTATGGAGTCTAACCAGTGCCTAATGTCTCTTTTTAGATACAGAGCAAGGGACTGAAGACTTTCTCTGAAACCTGTGCTGCACTGTAATGAGTGGGATAGGAGTCTGTATAAAGACTCCATCCTATTCATTCACAAACTGACAGTTTACCATGTGCTAGGGATGAGTGAACAGAGTGATAACTACTGATCACTTTGTTCATTCAGGAAATAAATGGGGTTGGTAAACACTAGGGGGGGGCAGCCAGAGGAATGCAGGAGGGGAAGAGGCAGCAGGTGACATCGGCGGTGGGTGGGTCATTTTAGGTAACTAGCTCTGATCAGTGACTTGTTAGCTGCTAATCAGAGCTATTGATTTGTTTAGCAGGGTCTGCTGAACATTTCTGCTATAAGTTCATGGTCATTGAAGGGACCATGAGCTTATATAGCAGAGGAGGAATGTAGGTTCGTATGCCGTATGGACCTAGACTGATGGAAGCAGTGCTGTAGATCTAGCAGTGAAAGGGTTAATGTGGCACACTGCAAGCAAAACAATCTAAAACTGAATGCAACAGTCAACCCAAAACACACACTCTGATAACATGGAACATTTACACGGATTCTAAATTCACACAGACTAAAATCCATTTCTCAAGTATAAATTTAGGAAAGCACAGTTGATAAATTAAATTGGAATTACCCAGGTGGCCTTACAAATATATGTCTTTAACCTCCGTCTCCATTTGTTCTGTGCTGTCATTCCTAACATATTTATGTGCAAGGTCTATTGTGTATCCTGTATCACCAATGTTACAGCCTTCCAAGCCACCAGATCTATAGCTAAATAATGAAAGACAAAAATAGACTTGCTAAGCCTCTTCTCAAATAATCCTACAAATATGCAGCTAACCAAAGCTGGCACAGTCATCAAGCGCAATAATATGCACAGTCCAAGCATGCGTCTATCAGCACTCTCCATAATGGGAGCAAAACTTGGCTACAAATCAAAAAAAAAAAAAAAAAAAGGCACAACTTCCCGACCACAGGTGCAACATATTTCACCACGATTGTTGCTAAGACTGACAGCAGAAAACTGAACAACTTCTCCTGCCTACATTACTGATAGTATTGCTAAGTTATAGCATGGTAAACTAAAAGAAGACCTGTATTGTATTATGGGATTACTCAAGTCACTAGTTGTGCAGGGACAACCCCCATTTTGCATGTTTGTTTCTGGTCAGTGACCCAAGGCTCGTTCACATGGGAAGCCAGGAAATAGTAAAAAGCGTCTGAGTTTTACTGTCCCAACCCCCCCCCCCCCCCCCCCAGCCAACCTAAACAAACACATATGACCGCAGGAAAAATTAAACCCACTGTCGCATTCAGCAGTGGTACTGCCACCCTGCAGCTGTGTGCAATGCAAAGTTAAAACAGATGGTGAGGAGGCAACATATCTGTCAAATGCCCTCTGAAGAAGTGATCCACCATGGATAGCTTTTCAGAGGGGTGGGAAGGCCTGCCGAACATCTGAACAAGCCCTTAGAAAGTACTGAATCTTCTGGACCAGCATAACAATTAGGCAGCTGACAAATTCTATAGCGATGGCCAGCAATGGCAGCCTACATAGTTTCTTGGTAGAGATTTCCATTAATGCTCTACAGTTATTCAACCATGGGTAATAACAACATCTGCATCCTGGGGCAGCAGTGTTCAATTCAGAAATATTACATCATTGCAGGAATATGGAAGGTTAGCTTCTGACCCATAAGTATGATTAACACCCAGCTAAACAAAACAAAGATATTTGTATTGTTTTTCATAATCAGAATTATATACAGTCAGGTTCATAAATATTGGGACATCGACACAATTCTAACATTTTTGGCTCTATACACCACCACAATTGATTTGAAATGAAACAAACAAGATGTGCTTTAACTGCAGACTGTCAGCTTTAATTTGAAGGTATTTACATCCAAAATCAGGTGAATGGTGTAGGAATTACAACAGTTTGCATATGTGCCTCCCACTTGTTAAGGGACAATTGGCTTCTCAGCTGTTCCATGGCCAGGTGTGTGTTATTCCCTCATTATCCCAATTACAATGAGCAGATAAAAGGTCCAGAGTTCATTTCAAGTGTGCTATTTGCATTTGGAATCTGTTGCTGTCAACTCTCAAGATGAGATCCAAAGCGCTGTCACTATCAGTGAAGAAAGCCATCATTAGGCTGAAAAAACAAAACAAACCCATCAGAGAGATAGCAAAAACATTAGGCGTGGCCAAAACAACTGTTTGGAACATTCTTAAAAAGAAGGAACGCATCGGTGAGCTCAGCAACACCAAAAACACCCGGAAGACCACGAAAAACAATTCTTTCCCTGGTGATGAAAACACCCTTCACAACAGTTGGCCAGATCAAGAACACTCTCCAGGAGGTAGGTGTATGTGTGTCAAAGTCAACAATCAAGAGAAGACTTCACCAGAGTGAATACAGAGGGTTCACCACAAGATGTAAACCATTGGTGAGCCTCAAACACAGGAAGGCCAGATTAGAGTTTGCCAAATGACATCTAAAAAAGCCTTCACAGTTCTGGAACAACATCCTATGGACAGATGAGACCAAGATCAACTTGTACCAGAGTGATGGGAAGAGAAGAGTATGGAGAAGGAAAGGAACTGCTCATGATCCTAAGCATACCACCTCATCAGTGAAGCATGGTGGTGTTAGTGTCATGGCGTGGGCATGTATGGCTGCCAATGGAACTGGTTCTCTTGCATTTATTGATGTGACTGCTGACAAAAGCAGCAGGATGAATTCTGAAGTGTTTCGGGCAATATTATCTGCTCATATTCAGCCAAATGCTTCAGAACTCATTGGACGCTGCTTCACAGTGCAGATGGACAATGACCCAAAGCATACTGCAAAAGCAACCAAAGAGTTTAAAGGGAAAGAAGTGGAATGTTATGCAATGGCCAAGTCAGTCACCTGACCTGAATCCGACTGAGCATGCATTCCACTTGCCGAAAACAAAACTGAAGGGAAAATGCCCCAAGAACAAGCAGGAACTGAAGATAGTTGCAGTAGAGGCCTGGCAGAGCATCACCAGGGATGAAACCCAGTGTCTGGTGATGTCTATGCGTTCCAGACTTCAGGCTGTAATTGACTGCAAAGGATTTGCAACCAAGCATTAAAAAGTGAAAGTTTGATTTATGATTATTCTGTCCCATTACTTTTGGTCCCTTAACAAGTGGGAGGCACATATGCAAACTGTTGTAGTTCCTACCCAGTTCACCTGATTTGGATGTAAATACCCTCAAATTAAAGCTGACAGTCTGCAGTTAAAGTACATCTTGATCGTTTCATTTCAAATCCATTGTGGTGGTGTATAGAGCCAAAAATGTTAGAATTGTGTCAAAGTCCCAATATTTATGGACCTGACTGTTTAAATTCTTTTTACGTAAATCCTTTCAAAAAGTGTCAGCTTCTGAAATAAAACTTAAATTTTCCTTTTCCATAACAAATATTGCAAAGGACAGCTGTTTAAAAAAAAATAAAAAAAATAGATTTTAGCATGTTACACCTGTGATTGTTAATAAAAGCACTTTTAATTCAATACTACTCATCCAACATACCTGCATACGTTCAAGTAACCCAGTTAAACCCTGAAGCCAGGCCATCGTCTGAATATACTCTGTTGTATTCATAATTGTGAGCTCTGATTTCAGTTCTGGAATAATAGCACCTGTCCTCCACCCATGCTTCAATGTCAAATCCTGTTAAGCAAGACAAGAGAATAAGAACACTGTTCATATTTGAGATAGCCTGATGACTTTATTGCACATTGTGTCCTTTCTCAAGACAGAATTTGAAATAAGGAATATTTTGTATCCATAACTTAAGCTATACACAAAAGTTAAAACGTGATAGTCTACAAGAGTATATTAATGTGTAATTAAAGGCAAAATGTTTTTTTCAGTTTTGAATAGAGTGGAGAGGGATTAGAACAAAGTGAAGGAAAATCTTTCCTACAAGACAAAATAAACAAGGAAAAAAAAAAAAAAAAAAAAAAACACACACACACACACACACACACACACACACACACTATAAATGAGTACACCTCTTTTGAACAATTTCCAAAATTTGTACAAAACAGTGTTAGAACACTTGTTTAGTTCATTACAGGAAAGGTTAATATAACTTGGATTACAAAATCTTCATTTATGCATCAACTGATCTGAGTAAAACTGAATATACCCCACAACAAAAAACTACTAAATCTAGTATTTTGTATGACCTCCATGATTTGTAAAGACAGCACAGAGTCTTCTAGGTATGGAATGAACAAGTTGGCGCCATATTGCAACATGTATCTTTTTCCATTCTTCAAGAACGACCTCTTTTAGAGCCTGGGTGCTGGATGGAGAATTCCCCATAGGTGTTCAGTTGGGTTCAGATCAGGAGACATACTTGGCCACTGAATCACGTTCACCCGGTTCTTCTTCAGAAATGCAACAGTGGCCTTAGATGTGTGTTTTGGATCATTGTCATGTTGAAACATGCACTACGACCAAGGGCGCGGAGTGATGGTAGCATCTTCTCTTTCAATATAGAGCAGTACATCTTTGAATCCATAATACCATCAATGAAATGCAGCTCCCCAACACCAGCAGCACTCATGTAGACCCACAGAAGAACACTGCCACCACCATGTTTCATTGTAGGCATCATGTATTTTTATTTGTACTCTTCACCTTTGCGACACCATACAGATTTGAAGCCATCGGTTCCAAAAACTTTTAAGTTGGTCTCATCACTCCAGAGTACAGAGTTCCAGTAGTCTTCTTTTCCAGCAAAGCAAATTCTAGGTGGCCCTAGCAATTTCTAGGTGGGCTTTAGGACAGGCTTCCTTCGTTGAGGACACCCATGCATGCCATTCCTCTGCAGTGTACGCCATATTGTGTCACGGGAAACAATCACCCCAGTTTGGCTTTCTACTTCTAACTTCACTGAACTTGCAAAGCAAGTTTCTTCAACCCATCTCATCAAAAGATGCTCCTGTCAAGGTGTTAACTATCGTGGATGGCCCGGATGTATCTGTGAGATGGTTGCAGTTCCATCTTTGTTAAATTTTTGCATCACTTTTGCTACAGTATTCTGAATGTTCAGTAAAGCTTTACTGATCTTCTTGCAGCCTTCACCTTTCTCGTGTAAAGAAATTTTCTCAGACCTTTCTCTTCCATGTGGTGCCATTGCTGACAGCATGAAACGGGAAGGGGTCTTCTTTGTTAAGTAATGCCCTTTTATAATCAAACAAAAAACAGGTATCCAGCAGACAGTTAATAATTAGACCTTACCTGTAGTTGAATTCTTGGTAATTAGGAGCAAAGCTAAATTTTAGACAACGTGAACGAACGCCTTCTCGGCGTCAAATGAGAGAAGGCAAGCCTTTAAACCATGCTGTTTGATGTAAGAGATAAGATGAATCGTTTTGGATTATCCCGTGCTTCGCGACCCTAAACAAAGCCGACCTGGTCGTGATGGATCAGGGTTGGGAGAAGAGGGGACAGACGATTCGCTAAAAGTTTGGCAAAAAGCTTAACGTCCAGGTTAAGTAGAGAAATTGGACTGTAGCTACTGCAATGAGAGGGGTCTTTACCCGGCTTAGGGATAACCAAAATGGTAGCGGAAAGAAAGGCTAACAAAGGGACATTCGAATCATCGATATTAAAATGCTCGAGCCAGAAGCGGAGCCAATTGAGCAGCGAATGTTTTATAAAAGCGAGGGGTGAATCCGTCTGGACCAGGGCACTTACCATTTTTCAGGGCCCTGATTGCTCAAAGAACTTCTATAACCGAGAAGGGCTTCTCTAGATCCAAAGCGTCTTGGGCATCAAGGACAGGTAACGCCGTCTCTGCAATATATTGGGACATAGCCGGCAAGGGGAAATAGGGGGGCTATCAGGACTTGCCGAGGAGAGATTATACAGTTGAGAATAATAGCGCTAAAAAGCAGAACAGATTTCCTTATTGTGGTAGCGTTTAGAATTATCAGGAACCGTGATGTACTGAATCGGACGACAGCATGGACGGGGATGTAGTACACGCGCCAAGTGTTGGCCACATTTGTTAGCTAGAGAGTAATGGGCATTGCGTGCTTTGGCTCGCGCAATAAGGAAGGAGGAATCTAAAAGTTGGAGTAAATCTCTGCGAGCATTGGAAAGTTCTACCGCAAGCACAGGGTCTAACATACGTTTGTGGAAGTGACGTGAGCCAGAATGACAGCAGACCGAAAGTGCGTCAATGAGTTTCACCCCACCCACAGGGCGTTCTCAAAGTCCTAGATAGTCCCAAAGTCCTTCTCCATCTACGCGATACAGAGAGTCCTTGAGTAGGGTGTCATTCAGGCGCCACGAAAAACGACGTACAGGCGAAGGCCTGTCTTGAATCGCAAGATGGATTGGAGCGTGGTCCGATAACAAAAAGTGACCAAGAGAGGATGAAGTCGGGCAATCTAGCAAAGACTGAGACAAATAGTCTATACGACTGTATGATGCATGAGCCGCAGAGTAATAGCTATAGTTTCGCTCCGAAGGATGTTGAATACACCAAATATCCACCAGGTGTAAATCATGCAAGCGCAACTTAAGTTGAGATAAGGTCGAGAAGGAAAGAGAAGATTTACCCGCTCAAGTGTCCAAATCTGAAGAGAGCCACATTGAAGTCCCCTCCGCCAAAATGAGACAGGAACCCCCAAAAGCAAATAACTGGGAAAGGACCTCCGTAAGAAACAGAGCCTGATCAAGGTTGGGAGCGTAGATGTTGGCAACTGTAAAAACGAAATCTTGGTATTTCAATTTAAGGAAAAGGTAACGTCCATTTGAGTCAATTAAAGAGTCCAAGACCTCCAGGCCGAAGGTATGATGAAAGGCTACCGACACCCCCTAGACCTAGTCTGCGGATTAGTACTATGATACCACTGATTATAGTAACTATTGCGGAGGACTTGGATACCACCGGACGAAAATGAGTCTCCTGAAGTAGTATGATCTGTGCGCCACATTTATGGAAATGGTAGAGCATCTGGCTCCGCTTCTCCAGATTGTTAAATCCCCTACAATTAATAGAAGTAAATGTTATCAGAGTCATATCTATTTGTGGGATAACAAAGTAGTAAAAGGTGAAACACCAAAAGGGGGGGGGGGGGGGGGGGGGGGGGAGAAGAGAGAGAGGGGAGACATTGAAAAAAGAAGAACATATAAAAAGGAGGAAAAAAGGAGAAAGAGAAACTACTAGGCAGGCAAGCTGTCAAAATTACATACAGTGTAATACTATGCAGTACACTGACGGCCTAGGTGGTGAACATCAAAAGGCGCATGTATCTGATCCCAACCCAGGCCTCCCACAGGCAAATGGTAACATGAGTGACACGAGGAAGGTCACCCACAAATAAGGGCGACCGCCTCTTACAAAACGTATTCAATAATCCCTCAAACAGGCATGAGAAAATAAACCCCCGCCCCCAACAAATAAAAATGAACAAAATATGGCAAAAAAACGGGGTGTGAATAAAACAAACAAGAAAGGGCCCAAAGCCCCTAAGGCTAGGGCCAAAGGCATCCCTGCCCGTCACGGCAAAACTGCGGTGGTGATACCTGGGGATTAGCCACAAGTCACGGCCTCAGAACCTTAATAAAAAAAAAACCAATAGGCACAAATACAAGGTACTGAACCAGCAGCGGGACGAAGAAGAAGAGGAAGAAGGAAGAAGAAGGAGGAGGAAGAAGGAAGAAGAAGGAGGAAGAAGGAGGAGGAAGAAGGGAGGAAGAGGAAGGAGGAAGAAGGGAGGAAGAGGAAGAGTAAGGAGGAGGAAGAAGAGTAAGGAGGAGGAAGAAGAGTAAGGAGGAGGAAGAAGAGTAAGGAGGAGGAGGAAGAGTAAGGAGGAGGAGGAAGAGGAAGGAGGAGGAGGAAAGAGGAGGAGGAGGAGGAAGAGGAAGGAGGAGGAAGAGGAAGGAGGAAGAAGAGGAAGGGAGGAAGAGGAAGAAGAGGAGAGAGGAAGAGGAAGAGGAAGAAGGAGGAGGAAGAAGAGGAAGGAGGAGGAAGAAGGAAGGGGAAGAGGAGGAAGAGGAGGACCGACCCGAGGGCTTACCTGCCCTTCATCTGTCAGATGCCCTGTAGCCACAGGGGACAAGGAGGGAAGCGGTGCCGGCGCCATCTTGATAGCTGGGGCGCCCGAGGCCTCAGCCCTGGATCGGGTGACAAACCAGCTTATGCTGCCGCCGGGCCGGCTCTCCGGGGGGTCCGGAAATGATTCTTCCCCATGTGGGGTGAGTAGAGCAGCCCGTGAGGGAGGAAAAGTCACAGATAGCAAGGACCGGGCGGGAGCTCAGCAGTAACGCTGCTGTGGCTCCATGCACCAGGCCACGTGCCCCCGATGGGACAGTGTTAGATCATGATAGGTAAGTGTTTAGGGGTGGGGGGTACAAGTAGTTGGAGTATACTTTAATGCAGGGAATGCATGAAGGAAAAAAGCATTACCGTTTACAAACACTAATTCTGGCAGATAATTCAAATATACATTGACTTTGTTGACATCAATGTGGCAACTTTGTCCACTGTTTTTTGTACGTTTTTTTGAACTGTGGTTAAAACCTTATATAAATGACAAACAGGAATACACCATCATATTGCATTTCTTTTTATCACAGAATTGCCTAGAATGTCAGGTTAGAAATGTATTGTACATTCATAAAGATATACATTTGTGTTGCATGGTAAACGAGGCATAAAAAAAATATTATACAAAACTGCTTTGACAACCAAAACAAAAAAAGGTCAACATGCCTTAGATGTGAAGCATAGGACTGAGATTTGCATAAATATTTTAATAAAGACAATGTGGTTGCCAACAGGGTATCAATAAGTAACAGGATTATAACAGAACTCAGTTTAACTGTAAGTGATCTGACCTGTACTGGTGTCTGTCTATATAATTAAATGTGTACACACAAGAACTAATGAGCATCCAGCTTTGCTGTGGTTTTTTTTTTCCCCTCTTTTAAAACCACCTGCTGACTGCTCACAGTAAATACAGGCACAGTCACATACATATATGCCCCCTGTTGACCCATGCCAATATTGGACACTGCACAAGTCCAAATGTGTCCAATGTCACACACTCCTGTGTTTACAAAAAAAAAAAAAAAAAAAAAAAAAAAAAAAAAAAAACACACACAAACCTGTGTATGCAGTGAACCGCAATATGGCTGTTTCTTCTCCCTGAAAATCAGGGAGCAAAAACAGCCAGATTAGTAAGTAAAAGCAGCACACAATACACTGGTTAGGGACAGAGTTAACCCCTTGATTGGACCTAGAGGTTAACCCCTTCCCAGCTAGTGTCAGTGTACAGGGTTATCACTGTAAAAAATGTCACTAGTGATACTCTCAGCCAGTGTCTGTTACCACCAGATTGCCTGCCACACTGCTATTACACCATTACAGTATAGAGTCCATAGCTGCGTAAATCCCAGTATATAGAGCATAGTTTGTAAACGCTATAACTTTCAAGCTAGCCTACATTTTTGAATAATATTTTTATTGGATAGGTTTTATAACAGAAAGTAGAAAATTACAAGTTGTTTTCAAAATTCTTTTTTCGTTTATATAATAAAAAAACCTAGTGGTGATAAAATATCACAAAAAGAAAGCTCTATTTGTGTAAAAACAAAAATTGTATACATTTAATTTTGTGTAAAGTGTTGCACGACTGCGCAATTGCCAGTTAAAAGTAGCACAATGCTGAATAGCAAACAAAATGGCCTGGTCATAAAGGGGTAAATTCTTACAGAGGTCAAGTGGTTAAAGCAGAGCTCCACCCAAAAGGGGAAGTTCCGCTTTAAAGACTGGTCCTACGCTTCCCAACTTTTGGGGAGCGGGTATCCAAAATTGACAGGTACCCACTCCCGCTGCGATCGCCTAGGAGAAGTTGTCCTCCCACCCTCCCTCCCCGTAGTCTTCTGAGATACGCAACAGGCCCAAGAAGACTACGGGACCATTCAGGAAGCAGGAAACCGGCTGTGAAGCTGCAAATTGTCACAGCCGGGTGCCCACACTGAAGATACCGACGCCTGGAACACCAAGCGGCTGGTGAAACGAGCTGCGGGGAGGAACACACCGTGGGATCTTGGGACAGGCAAGTGGCTTTTTTTTTTTTTTTTTTTTTTAAAGTCAGCAGCTACAGTTTTTGTAGCTGCTGACTTATTTAGTCACAGTGCGACTGGAACTCCGCTTTAAAACACAATGTAAGCACTACTAGGAATGTTGATCTATAATGAACTCTAAAGTGAAAACAGGCAGCAGTAGCAATCATTACAATTTCAAGCTTGTATGTGACTGTAACGAGGATTTTAGGTGTAAGTGGAATTTTAAACGGCAATCCTCTTAAACTACACCAAAGATGCTGAAAATCTGGACGTGTGCACAATGCAGTTAAAAACCTACTAACATTACATTTTAATGTCCAAAACAAATATATATTATATACAACTTTCATAAGAAAATTATTTTATGTAAATATGTTACAAAGCTTCTTACTTAAAATATCCTGCCATTAACAGCACTTCCTCTTGCAGGCTAGCAATGCAAAGCAGCTAAATAGTATGGGATCCTCCTGCGCTCATGGGAATAACTGACGTCGTAACTGACCCTGATGAAGTCACGACGCACGTGACGCAATGCGTCGGTTTGTCTACTTCCTGGTGACGTATGTCCGGACACAGTGGCCATATTGGATTCCCCCAGGTGCATGCATATCTACCCACAGGCTGGGAAAAACGCTTGTTTATGGAAAGGAGCATGTGAGTGGTTTACTTTGTCACTTTTTACTTTGCCTATTAAAACTTACTACACTATGGAAGGCTTTCTTGTCTTTTTATGAGTTGCATAAGAGAGGAGGAGGATTAAGGAGTCTGCCAGAGGAATACACCACTGAGGTGGTAACTGCTTTGAGGCCCTGTGTGGGTCGAGGAAGGGAGGTGAGCAGGCATTGCTGCCATTTGAAGGAGAGTACTTGCACTTAGAAGTGGAGATCACGTGTGTGTTCCAGCTTAAAGCACAGTCACATGCATGGAATATTTTTTCACCTTTGATATTGTCTTTTTCACTTATGGCATATATTAGTTATGTTTGATTTAGACACCATTGTATGTGGCCAATTATTCTGTTTTCATGTATATATACTTTGTTTAGTATATCTGATTTATGCACTACATATTTAGGTTCTTAATGTGTGATATGTAGCCATTATAGTCATTTCGGTTGACATTATTTTTTCTATCCACTAGAGGGAGTTCACATATTTTTAATATATATCGTGGTCACTTTGATTTACTATTATACTTTATGGAGACACATGATTGTATTCATGAGATACAAGCGCTTCACTAATTTTATGTTTATTTAATGCAAAGCAGCTGCCTTGCAATTGGTGTCAGCCTGGTGTGTGCTTCTTCTGTTGGCCACTGAGCTGCCTATAAAGTTTAAGGGGGGGAAAAAAAAAAAAAAAAAACAAACTTTTGCAGCAGGTCCATAGAAAATGTCCTTCTAATCCAATATTGGGTTTACAAGCACTTTTAAAGCCTTTGAAGGATCAGTAGGGTGGAAGCTCTTTGGCCCTACTTTTCCTATGGGTCACACGAGTGCAGTTAGTTGTGCACTCCTGTGACCCAGAATCAGCCGATAGGCTAAAGTTCACTGTCGGCTGACAACAATCCAGAGTCTAGAGGGATCTCTACTTTAATGTCAGGAACTCCGAATCCACCCAGATTCCTGAGCTGCACCTGGTTTGGCCTTTTAGCACAAAGGCTGAGAGCCTAAGCCAGCCACTCCCGCCCCCACCACAGCCTGGCGCTCCAGTGAGTGCCAGAGGTGCAGAGCATTGAGCTGGTCAGTGACTTTCTGCTCACTGAAGACCGAGAACTGAGCGATCATGAGCTGAGCGGGACTTTGATCTCTCAATTCTTGGTCTCAAAGGAGGCAGGGGACAGATGCAGCATTGGAATGATGCTGCATCTGCCTAGGAGAGTATGTATGTATGTATGTATGTTCATTTTGAAATCCTGCACTTCTCTCCTAATCTGTTATCCCAAGTTCAGCCAAGGGCTTCTGCTGCCTCAGGAAAACAGACTGCTCGATCTAAGAGCAAGTTTCACACAAAAATAAATAAATAAAAAATGATACATGTACATAAAATCGGGATTTTTTTCAGATGAAATAACCAAGGAGGCGTGTATGCATTTGACTAATCGAAACAGCATTGTGTTCTTTCATGTATTGTTACGGCTATTTATCCAGAGGTACAGGAGTTGGTCAAAATTATGGAACACCAGGTAAAAGAACGAAATTGTTACCCAATATGTTGTTGAACTGCCTTTGGCATTCAAGATAGCCTAAATTCTCCTGGGAATAGACAAATATAAATATGGTTTTGGATGGTGGAGAATGGATTCGGATACCAATTTGCATGCAAAAATCGTTGCAGTTTCTCGCAGAAATTCTGGAGCCGGCAAATGAGCCTGAACCTTGTTCTTGTTGACCATAGTGGCTCTAGGATATTGAGGTCCAATTATAGCACCCAGGGACATTGCAAGATTTAGTCTGCATGCTTGTCAAACTACATTTTGACAGAACTAGCACATTGTTTTGGTAAATGGCACGGTTTTTGGGAAATGTCTGCACCGTGGGGTGCACATGGTCGGCCAAAATTTGTACATAGTTGCTGGCAGTGACTCTACCTTTCAAGGTGATGATGGGGCCTGCAAAATACCAAGATATGGCTGCCCAAACCATGATTGCACTGCCACCATGTCTTACCATTGGCACAAGACAGTCCTGGTCGTAAGATTGGAATGGTGTTTGCCACATAAACACATTTGGTGGCTGGGAACAGCGTGAAACTCGATTCATCAAACTATTTTACAGTCTTCCACTGACCGATAGCCCACGATTTATGGGGTGTTGCACCACTCTCTCCTCTTCGGAGAATTAATATTGGTCACTAGTGGTGTAGCAATTGCAACTCAACCCCCCTGTGAATGTTTTGCTTATAGAGTTCCCTCCGCACAGATTTTGTAAACACAGGCTTTGGAAGACGAGATGGTGCTCTGCAGTCACTTTTGCAGCAGTTGTTTTCTTATTCCGAGTAACAATCCTGTGCAATGCCCTTTTGTCTCTTTCGTTCAGTTGACCATGTCGTCCGCACTTATCCTTAGCAGACGGTTTCCCGGAAACTGTATATGCCGTCATAACCTTTGATACTGTACCTCGCGAAATGGCAAATAAATTGGCAACTTCAGTCACAGAGGCACCAGCTAGGAGGACACCAACAATTTGCTCTCTTTGGTGCTCAGTAAGATCTGACACAACTTTGTATTACTAGCAGCGTGTGCAGTGAATGACGAAAGAGAGGCTTCCCACCAGTTCACTAGGTGTGTAATCACACAGCAGACGCAAGAGATGTTACATCACTTCAGCTTATGACGTGAAACATGTCGTCACTTTCACACCTGCAAATCATGTACTGTTTCCATATTTTTTATCCAAGCCCTGTGGGCAAATCCACCATGCATCAGTTATATAAACTGTAAAATAGATTTTTAAAAAAGGGCCTTACCGCTAAGTCACTGTATATATGATCACCAAAGTATAACACTTTTGATCCTCTCCAGCCAGTAAGCTTGAGAAATTCAAACAAATTTCCCTAAAAACAAAAAGGCATGGATGTAAGATAGGCATTGTAGTATAATTTGCAGATATTTAAAGTAATAAAGGTCACATACCATTTTATCTACAAATCATTTTTTTATAGTAAGGAAGGGTTTAAATCACTGTTTGCCTTGCTACCTGTGCTCCAGCTAGAGAGATACACCATTTTTCCTGGTGACCACTGACATTGAGAATAGAAGTAAAGGGTAGTTAAACATTTGGAGTTGTTACAAGAAGAGGAATAGAGGAGAAAGGAGGACACTAGTTCCTAAGACAGTAGTCCAAGAAGAAAGACTGCCGTCATCTCCTCTTCTGTCCACATGACATTAAGTTAATAAAAATCTCTCCAATGGGACATGGATGACAAAAACCCTAAACAGGGATTTTAACCCTTCCCTACTGTATTAAAAATGTAGAAAAAAACATTTAGGTTTTACACATTCTTTAAATTTAGCATCTATATTGTTTTTTCATCTTGAATGTGCGGTTTAGTTTCGGGAACTATTTCAAGATGTTGCATAACTAGACTAACAAAAGAAAAGTAAAAAAAGATAAACCTCAGCTATGAGAAAAAAAGATTAACAAATGAAATTATTCTTCTTTAAGAAGATGCACTTAAGGGATATAAATTCAGGTGAAAGCTCAGTCAACACTATTCTTAAATCTATCCCCACCTCCATTGCAAGCATAATCTATCTACCCTGTAAAAGGAAAGATCTGTATACTTCTCTATTTCTGAGGGCACTCCAGTCCAGTCACATGATTAGATCCTAGCACCGGCTTCAGTGTATAGGAGGGACAGCTGACAAAGGATGCCATATAGTAAGCCTATGGAAGACATCACCCAGGGTCTGCAGCCATTGTTGGCGATTGCTTATCTTCACTGAAGCAGCGCTGGGACCCGATCATGTGACCAGATCGAAGCATCCTCATAAAAGGTAAGTATACAAATCTTTCCTTTACAGGGTAGATAGGATAGGATTAGAATGGGAGTGGGAGTAGATATAAGAATAGTTAGTGTTTACATACTTATTCAATTTAAAGTGGAAATTCAGTTAAACGATCCACATAGGAAACGTGGCACAAAGTTACTGACATTAAGGTCATTGCAGATCACAAGTGGTCATGCTTTACCCATGGATAAAAGAGGTTTAACCTCGACATAAGGAAATGCTTATTTACAGTAAGAAGTGGAACAGATTTCAACAGGACCAAATCTAAAATTTTGGGGTTTTTTTCCTCAATGCACAGCAATATAACTAGCTATTAATATTTATAAGAAATAACATCAGACACTGTCGATCCAGGGGGTAGAGATATGATTATTTTTCTCTCTTGTGGCAAATTGGAGCATGCTTTATTATTAGGGATTTCTGCCTTTCACTGGTTCAACTATAGGTTTTGAAAAATGTTTTCACTCTTTCTATAGATTGAACTTAATGCGTTATCCTTTTAATCCAATTTACACTCACTGGCCACTTTACTTAGGTACAACTTGCTAGTGACAAGAAAATATCCACCAAACTATTACACCACCACCAGCCTGAACAGTTGATAAAAGGCAGGATGGATCCATGCTTTCATGTTGTAAACACCAAAATTCTGGCCCTACCATCTGAATGTTGCAGCACTCTGCCCATTCTCATCTGACATCAACAAGGCATTTTTGTCCATGCAACTGCCGCTCACTGGATATTTCTCCTATTCTGATCATCCTCTGTAACCCTAGGAGATGGTTGTGTGTTAAAATCTCAGTAGATCAGCAGTTTGGCATCAACAACCATGCCATGTTCAAAGTCACTTCAAACCGAGCATCGGAATGGTGGAGAAAAGGGATTTAACTTCAGCAAGTTGTCTTCACGCCTTAATACACTGAGTTGCTGCCATGTGATTGGCTGATTAGCAATATGTGTTACCAAGCAATTGAACAGGTGTACCTAATAAAGTGGCTGGTGAGTAAATAGATAATATATATTAATTTCACTCAAAGTAAACTATATCTTAACTATAACAGCATATTAAAATATACAATTCATTTTATAGAACAAAAAAAAACGAATTTCTCCCTTTTCAGAGAAAGTCTACTTTATGAAGGACAACATTTGTATACACCACATTTGTGCTAATAAAAGAATACTGTTTTTGTAAATAGCATGCTCCTAGCTTTATACTGGAAGGCTGAAAAATGAATATGAAAGGGTTACTTTTCATTGGTTGGTAATCAATAACCATTTTAACTGAGAGTTCTATAAATATGAACATGTCATCACACTTAAAGAGTATGTAAGCCCAATATTTCATATTACCAATATGTGCCTGTATGAAAAAAGTATCCTGTTCTCTTGTATTGCTTCCTTTGTGTGAAATCCTTGGTGTTCCTGACAGTTTCTCTGCTTAAAGTGGAACTTAGGGCTCACATGTGTGGCTATATACTGCTGCACCTCTGAAAAGCAATCTGTCGATAACTTTTCAGAGGGCATTTGCAGTTGGTGAGGAGGCAAATAGAATTTACAGGTCTAGTTGCAAAAAAAAAATGTAGTCTTGTTCCCATTGGATTTCTTCTAGCGTACAGCACATGTGCAGGGTAATGTACCCTCCTGGCCCATTACCAACTTCTAGAATATTCTAAGAATGGAGTCAGTTGTTGGGACCATGAAGCCCCAGCACACAAGCCTGAAAAGGAGTAACGCCAAACCTGGTAGAAGGGAAAGAAGATGGTGAGTGACAGATGCAGGGAGGGAAAGTTCTGAACTGTCAGAGCTGGAGGAGGTGCAACAAAAGAGGTGAGTGTACTATAATGTGTAAGTATGCAATGCAGTATAGATTGGCCTCTATAAAAAGCAATTTGTTAACAGCTATAGTATACAATATAGGGAAAAGTAAAAACAGTTATATACCACAACAAACCTGCTTATAGATTTTGCCTTTTTCAAGCTGACTAATTTTATCCCATAGTAGAACCCCTCGGTCAGTAACTTTACGGAATGGTCTGGAAAAGGGAAAGAAATTGTTAAAAATATTAATTTATTGTATTAGAACCTTCTGATTTTATATTAATGGCAGGGAGGATAATGGCTTCTAATAGCAAAGGCTAAAAGATGGCTTTCTCCTTTCTGATGACATTGATACCAGATGTTCTATCAGTGACGAGAACCTTTTATATTATGTTTTTGCAGTATTGCTGCAAACTAAACACTATAGTTGAGTGGAAGGAGGAGAAATGGGGCTGAGCTTGTTTGACCATGCCTGTCTAGATTGTACCAACTGTGCATTTCATTTGGTACAATCTAGAGTGGTTTCAAATTCAGTCATCAGTTCCACCAAATCTACAAAACAAGTATAACAGTATATGTACAACATTGCAAATAGTATTTTTATAAAACTCATTAAACAAATAATTGCCAGTGTGTCAGCTTCTGGCACAAAGCAATTAGAGCTGAAAAAAAAAAAATACATTGTGTAAAAATGCCTTAACCTAATCTATCTGCTCACCTTAACACTTATAGTTTCCTTTACATGAACCCTAAAACGTAACCTAGCTGAGAAAAATTAATCCATAACACTCCATGTAAACCTGAAACTGAACTCTTAACCTCAACACCCAAATACTAACCTGATTCCAACTCTTAATCCAAACCTGAACTTTCAAGCAGAACAGCACAGCATCTGATCAACAAACAAAAAAATCTATTTAATTCTCTTTTAATATTCCAAGAAAATCCCCCCATCCATCAATGTCTCCATGCTTTATTGGTCTTAGCTGAGAAAACCCCTCCTCCCAAACCTGGATGTATGACATCATTTGCCTAGGCCTGGAAACCAGGAAGTAACTGAAGAATGTAAAAAAAGTTAAAACAAGTAAATAGGATATACTTTCCAATTTACTAATGCTAGCAGCATAAGGATTAAAAATAGTCAAATGTTGCTTGAGAGAATGAAGTTCCACTTTAAATCTGACCCAATGCCTTATTTCACACTAACCAAACTTAGGGCTCATAAAAATCAGTTTTTCTGCACGAATGGTGTGAATGAGCCATTAGGCTTAAAGTTTACCTTTTAGACAAAAATAATAAATGCACATTTTTTTTGTAAGTAAAAAAAATATGTGCATTTATTATTTTTGTCTACAGGAGGTTGGAAAGCATTGCACCAGTGATCAGTAGACCTGTCAGAATATCTGCTTGCCATACAGGATGTACGAGCAAGCAGATATTCTGACAGGAAGCTTCAGTGAACTACCACGATGCTCCACAGTGCCGTGGTAGTTCATGGAAAACTACAAGTACACAGCCGCTAAGGCTGTCGGGACTTGCAGTTCATTCATTCATGAAAGTTCATGAATGGATGGATGAATGAATGTGGCTGTGTGGGCGGAGCCCCGCACAGCCACGCTGTTTTCAAATGTGACAGATAGATAATATGGGGAGAAGTCTCCCCGTAATGTCAGAGGGAGAGAGGGGCGGCAGCGACTATGGGAGCATGCAACATGCCCCCCCCCAAGAAAGGGGAGGAACATGTAACATGTTCCCAAAGGTGAACTTATCCTTTAAGGTCTTGTTCACATTATACATGCAGAAAAACTGATGGAAACAGATGCGCAGATTTCACTTGCAGAAACATCAGTTTACATCAGTTTATGTGCGTTTCAATTAGTTTTATACACATTGCAGATTCCTGCGCAGGAAGAACTTGCACATGATACCAGTGTTGTGGTGTGAACAGCGCACATAGAGAACAATAGATTTAATTGAGCCCTTGCAGAACACATGCAGAAAAACTGACGGATCTGCACCATGGTGTGAACAAGCCCTAAAACTTAAAGCGGAACTAAACCCATCGATTTAACGTTTCAAGAACCAGTAACATTCCTGGCATGTGTCGGGAACATAACTGTCACATTTGCTTGTGCTTTAAACCAAACGGTCAAACCATCAAATGGCTGGTGTCATAACTGATCACATGTGCATCATCATGGCAGTTGAAGATCAAACAAAAAGGATAAAATTGCAGCTTCCTCAGCTAAAAAAACGATAGGGTCTAGTTCCACTTTAAACAAACCTTCTTACTAACCCCTAAACACCTGCATTTAACTCCCCAAAACTCTTGATGTCAAAAGATCTTGTACACATCTACACAAAATGAAAATAACGGACATGGTAAGCATACTGTAACTAGAATTAAACAGCCATCAGATATAGACTGGGAAATTTCTCTATTATTGAATACTTAGAGCAGTTGGACCTGTCACGATTCTGTTACAGTGATAGAAAACCCTAAGACTGTCTGCTCATTGAAAGATATTACAAACTGAAAAAACTCCAACCACTATTGGGAGTGCTTACTGCCTCATAGCAGGGCATAAAAATACCAGATTTGCAAAAAAAAAAAAAAAAAAAAGATTTTTGCTGGAAATTTTCAGGGCACTTACAACCATGCTCAGTTTTAGTAGAAAGGCTGCCTATGACAAACATTTAATATGACAATATGCTGTATTATGATCTAGGAATACTGGGAATGGCTCAGTAATATTTACCTCCTCTTGTCATTGAAAAAATTTGGCTTGTCAGCTTGAACTATAACAACATCAAAAAGATCTCTCCAATCTTTTCCAACAATAAAGTGCATTCCTTTGTCGCTGTAAAATGAAAAAATTCATATTTAAGATCATGGTAATCAACACACACTTTTTTTTTTATACTGAGCTTGGAAATTACGGTTTGGATCACGGCTGCATCTAGCCAGTCTGATGTGGGGGTGCAGTAAAAAAAAAAAATGTCAGGAAGCAGAGGATGAGAGGTCAACAGGGGAGCGTACAAGGGTCAGTATGGCAGTGTGCAGGTGGTCAGCAGGGCAGAGGACATAGAATATGTTCCTAAAGGAAAACTTAGCCTTTAAACAATAACATTGACAATTTTAACCCCTTTACGCTGCCAACTCTCGGCTCTTTAAGAGATTCTAAACACCTGGAGGTGGAGGTGGGCATTCAGGCCACATGACCGCTGTGATTAGCTGTTACAGAGAACTGATAAAAGTGAGGATGATAGGGAGAAATGCTTACTCATCCAAGACTGGTATCTGCAGGCTCAGGCAGAGGCACCAGCAGGTAGCCACTGTGGATCTTCCAATTGCTGTACATCAAATCTCCCACCCACACATCCCCATTGTCAGGCACAGCACAGGCTTGCAGTGTGGGTGGGGCAAACAGGGAAAAGGGGGGGGTGGGTGGAGTGGGAAAGGATCTAGTGGTGTGTGTGTGTGTGTGTTGCCTGGGCATTGGGCAACCGCTGCAGTTCCAGCCTCTCCTAAAGGATGGCACAAGGATGGCACAACATCCATGAGAGAGCACAACTGAAGTCAGGAAGGGGGGGGTGGCACAGCCTGCCCCAGCACCCCCCTAGATCTTACCATAGTTTGGATTACATCTTTTTAAAAACTTATAGGACTTAGGGAAGCTTAATCATTAATATTCAACAGCTGCATAGGCAATGTTCTTTAAATCTGGCTTTATGTACCCTAGAGTAACTTAACAGTGTGTATCGGCTTTGAATGAATTGTCACACCCAACCTAAAAAAGGTAGAAAAATACATTAAAAGTATACTGAAGCCTCTTACTTACACAAAGCTGCTGGGACTATTCGTTATAAGGAACATCTTTTTGCCATTGTTTGCCAGTTTTGCCAACACCGCTCGCGTTCTCTCCCCATAGCGAATGTACCTTTCTATAGAAATATCAGTGGGAAAAAAAAAAAAACTAAGAAAAAGGCTTCTATTTAAAATTAGTAAGCAGGTGTTCATTTGAAAGCAACTTTGCTATAAATAACAGCCAGCATCAGACATGGTCCATAGTTAAAAGCTAACTTTACCTTTAAAAATAAATGCTCATTTTTAGCAGGTAAAATTTTTTTTTAAAATTGTGCTTTTATTATTTGCATTGTACCTGTGCTCAGTAGATGTGCATGGGCTTCATATTTCAAAGCTGTAGGAAGTGTTAATGAAATATAAGAGGGCAGCGGTTTTTTCGAAAGCACATGTTTTAGGACACACTTTAATACATTTTAATGTACGCAAACACAATATATTACCCAATGTTTTGGTAAAATATAAAAGATGTTACGCTGAGTAAATAGATACCCAACATAACGTCTGGTGGGCCGGAGATCCCGGAGAGGCACCAGCAGGTGGACCCCTCCCGCCACCTGTAAAAGCCATTCAGCAGCTAATTAGTCACTTACATGGCTTCTACATAAAAGCCAATCACCTCCTATAAACGACAGTACCAGAATGATGCCTGTAGCTGCAGGCATCATCCCGGTATACCACTTGAAAGCCCCAACATACAGTATCATCTACATGGTAAATTTAAATAAATAAATACCAACAATGTGCACACACACACAAACAATTACACTTCATGTACATGACTTACAGTCTTTTTACAGCAGGGGTCCCCTACCCGGGCCGTGGACCGGTACTGGTCTCTGGCCTGTCAGTCGCTAGGTTGCAATGGCACTGGGAGGAGGAGAGAGGCTGTGTTTACATAGCGGCTCTCCCGCTCTGTTAGATCCTGTGAGCAGGGTTGCCTCCTGTGAGATCATCACATCAGCGGCGCATTACAGTCCCATAGGATGGGAACCCTATTGTGAACTGCTCATGTGCTGATTGTAGGTTTGCCTCCTTGAGAATTTAATGCCAGCTGCCTGTGTCAGTAGCGCTGGGGAGAGGCTACAAAGCCATACATTGAGAGATTTCACAGCAAAGAGAAAACTGCGTTTGGTGGCAGGGTACAGTGGCAAGGGACACAACTGCATCTGGTGGCAGGACATGGTGGCAAATGACACGCTGCATCCGGTGGCAGGACACAGTGACACGCTGTATCTGGTGGCAGGACAAGGTGGCAGGACAAGGTGGCAAGCTCAAGGGTCCCACTGATCTGAAACCCCACCCACCGCCCTTGACAAATTGTCCTCCATAAAACCGGTCCCCAGTGCCAAAAATGGTCGGGGACCACTGTTCTACAGAACAGACAGCAAAACTGACTTTCCACAACTTCTCACAAGATTTATTGCAGGTACTGCCATTAAAATAGTCCCCAGAACAAGGACTGTGACTGGTCAGTAGAGTTTGCACTTAATATCTGCTTCTTAATCACTTGATGACCGCAAAACGTATATTTAAGTATTCAAGCTTTTACAGGTGGCGGGAGGGGGAGATTTTATTATACAAAAACACACAGTATATATTCAGATTTCAAATTTTTCCAGGCAGACAGACAAATACAAGTGTTACTGCACACCTACATGTGTATCACTGTAAATTAAAAAATAAATAAATAAATTTTTTGCTATCACAGAAAAATGTCTTACCAATGTCAGCCTCCACTGCTCTGTACATTAGCCCTTTCACATGGACATCTCTAATTGCATCCTAGGGAATGAAAAATAAATAAATAATGCCTACATAACAAACATGTTTGGTCATTTTAGGAAAATTCATTATCAGTTTGGTATTATACAATGCTATAGAAAAAAGGACATACAATTCAAAAAAAAAAAAAAAAAAAACCAACAACAAACAAAACACAAACGTCGCGAAAATGTGATACTGAAGAAATGAAATAGATCATATTTTTTAGCAAATAATTTACTGAAGTGCATTCAGATAGCCCATATATTTATGACACTGTCTGTAAGATATGTACAGGGAAGCATGAATCTCTCTCCGATAAGGATTTTAAAATCGGACTTTATTGCAGATTTCTAGCTGTTTAGTTCATGTTTAAAATGAGACTACTGTAGGTCTCAGAGAGTCCCAGAGTATCTGCTGGAATTTTTCAAATTAGTGATTTTGCATAAACACAGCGGGAGAGATTTACTAAAACTGGTGTACACGGAATCCGGTGTAGCTGTGCATAGTAACCAATCAGCTTCTAACTCCAGCTTGTTCAGTTAAGCTTTGCATAGTAACCAGTTAGCATCCAGGTTTTATTGTCAGGGTTGCACCAGCTTTAGTAAATACAGCGGTGTGAAATACTGGAGAAGAGCGGCTCATTAGATGCAAGTGTATATTTTAGGGATGCAGCAAACATTTATAAGGAATTCAACCCCCAAAAAATATATTTCAAGTAATTTCAGGATGTATGTCTCAGTAAAAAGCTGTTGAAACTGTAAACAAACATCCAGGTGTTCTGGGGATGCAATACATCATATCACAGGCTAGATGTAAATAGACGTCCCATTTTTTTGGTAATTTCTGGAGGAATACTTCATCAGATGTGTAATGGCAGAGACCTCTAACTTTCTCACTGATATATAAAATCCTATTTTCTTTGCATCTGATCAAGTGGAACATTATAGCAGAACTGAAGGGCGAATACTTATCTGTTCAACAGTCCCTTGCTGGCACCAGCATCTTCTTCTGAACACCAGTCTTCGGGCCTCTTCATTGGCCAGCAGGGGATGACGTCACTTCTGTACATGCACAAAAGATAGTCATCCTGACACTCAGAGACCGGCCCAGCACTGTAAGCTGAGCTGCACATGAGCAGCTCAGTTTACCAGTGCCGCAGAAGACAGCAAGCAGGCAGGTTAAGGCTTTTTTTTTTTTTTTTTTTTTTTTTTTTTTTTACAGACAGTGCACCTCTCTTCTGCAATAAAAGCCCGCCTGCTCATTGTTTTACAGTGGAACTTCAATTGCACACTAAACACTGGCAACTAACAAGCCAAACAATGGGCATGCAAAATTTATTTAAAGACACAAAAATGAAACCCTTCAACATAAAAACACAGAATTGTCCATAGGTTTGCCTTTTTAAAACAGATTCTGGATTAAACCACCAAGTACATATCCTTGTGTTCAGGAGAGACTATTCCGGTTTCATAAAGATGCAGAACAGTAGAAAATCATGCTCTAGATAGTTTTTAAATAGTAATACCAATTTCTCTATGAGACTGCTACTCTGCCAAAACATTTCAAAAGCCAACTACACTCTGCAACTTTTAAAGCATGGGAACGCTGTGGTGCATTTTACCACTGACTGCACCAAGATTATCAGCTATCCTTATTTTCAAATAATGTACACATACCTTGACATCCTTATATAGATGAACTGGTTCATAATCTATGTTGTTTTTGAAAAAGTAGTCGTTGACACAGGAGAGAAGAGTCATCTCTGGCAATGAGAATATGTCCATGAATTGCTTCAATGTGTTGCCTTCAGAACTCTGCAAAGTTAAAGAGAAATTTGTAAAATTTTACCCAATTTACTGTATGTTTAACAAAATCATCATCTAACACTTTATTGGTGGGCAATACCGGACGAGACCCATTCTACTGAACTAGGCCACATCACTATGAGCATTTTCAGGTGTTAAATCAGGTAGTATGACAACACATAGCCACTTCATTGCCTGTCAAATGCCCTCTGAAAAGTGGTCCACTGCAGATCAATCTTCAGAGAGCAACATCAATGCAAAGGAGCCCTTTTACTGAAAGTTAGGACTGAGCTATTCAATAAGATAATTTTTGATCTCTGTAAATGCCAGCCTTTTTAACAACCTAAACAGAAGTAATTACACAGCATGTGAAGAGAAGCCTAGAACTCCACCATCTGGCTGGAAAAAAAAACACCTAAAATTCACACACTTCATATTATATTTATCTGATTAAAAAATTCTGACCATGTTAAAGTATAAAAGGCTTTTTTTTTTTTTTTTTTTTTTAAGGGTTGGATAGAGTGGAGAAGTGGTACTACAATACTGATCTGTTTTTATTACTTTGTTTCCCGGTTAGGGAGAGTCACCCTGTTTACTGTTATTACCAAAAGTGAAAGAAAATTCCAAATTTTGGGTTGTCACCAGAACAGGAATGGAAGGCAACATTTTCAGAGGGGACACTAGTTTTGCTGATCCTGGTGATAACAAGAAATTCCCTCACTTTGGAGGGAATTCTTCTCACTTTTCTTTAGTCTTATTTTAATTACTGTAAGTAATGGGATTTTTTGTTACCCACGATAAAATCCCCTCTGAGTTAATTGACAGACACAGCCACTTGTTCTATATCCATGATCAAACAAGGTTTTATAGCTCCACCTCCAGGAGTAGGACACTAGGCAAAAAAAAAAAACTTGGCACCTCCTATAGGTAGTCCTTTCTGGGCATAAAACCCCCTTCTCTGCTATACTCCTCCAGTCAGTTACAAGCAGTGTCAAAAGGAGAAAACTCCATAGAGGGCTGGGTGCTGTGTCTGTCAATGAAATCAGAGAAAGGGATTATGTGGTTAAAAAAAATAAATAAATAAAAACAAAATCGAATTTTCTCTTACAATCATTGACAGGACAGAACTGCTTCTTTATCCTTAACTAAACAGGGATGTGTCCAAACATTGTCTCAATGAGGGATGGGCTAACCAACTAATGGGAAAGAAACCCAGGGTAACACGCCAACCTCGGAACCACCCCAAGGTTCCTAAACAGCCGCTTGCAAAACCTTACGGCAAAAACTAGCAACAGAAGATGCAAACACATCAGCTCTATAGGACTTAGTAAAAGTGTGCACTGACAACCAGGTTGCCATTTTGCAAAATTGAGAAACAGACGCCTGATGCCAGATAGTCTAGGAAACGCTAACCTCCCTTGTGGAGTGAGCCGTAACAGGGAAGGAAGGTTTCTCCCCCTTACTGGCATACACCTGCACAACCATCTGCCAAATTCGATGGTAAATAATGGTGGAAGAGGCCACCATGCCTTTCCTCGGACTGTCCACAGGGAGGTACGTACGAACCATGTCCAAGGAGTGCAAAGCCACCTCCTTAGTGTGTGACAGCCGAGGACACAAAAAGGAGGGAAGGACAGTGTCCTCATTCAAGTGGAAATCCAACACTACCTTCGGAAGAAAAGGAGACGGCCGAAGCACCATGTTGTCCTTGTGCAAAATTAGAGGTGCCTTACAAGCTAAAATTGACAATTCCAACACCAGCCGCACCGACCAAATAGGGACTAGAGAGGCGACCTTCTATGAGAGTGTAAGCAAGGGAATATCCCAAATGCGCTTGAAAGGAGGCTGAAGAACCAACACCAAATTCAAGTCCCACAGCGACAGTGGGGAACATCACATGATGAACCCCCTGGATAAAATGTGCAAACCAAGAAAAATGTGTGGCCATAGGACGCTGAAAGAAGACAGACAGAGCAGAGACTTGACCCTTAATTGTACTCAAAACAAGCTTCAGATCAAGGCTTCAAATTGAAAGAAGGCCAACATCTGAGCCACTGAGAAGGCACAAGGAACCCCAAAGCTTTGCATCAAACAATACAAGCTTTCCAGGTGCAATGATAAATCTTCCGGGGAGGTAGACTTACGAACCTTAGTCGAATTCACCGAGCAAGAAAACCCTCAGAACCTGGCTTTCAACAGCCAAACAGTCAAACCCAGCAATGGTAAAAGCAGGGTGGAAGACCAGCCCTTAGGACAGAAGGTCCTCCCGAAGAGGCAGCTGCCAAGAAGCGTCTGCCACCAACCACACTACATCAACCACTGATGGCAAGACTAGTTCGGAGCCACCAGAACGACTGGTATTCCTTCGGCTTCTATCCTGAGCAGCAGGCGAGCAATCAGCCAAAGGAGCAAAAATGCATAGATGAGATTATACTGATCCCACGGCGCCACCAGCACATCCGTTGCATCCACCAGAGGATTCAGCAACCTCGCCATGAACCTCGGAACATTCCGGGATGCCAGCAGTTCCACAGCAAAGACCATGCTGATGGAACACCTCTGGGTGCAGGGACCACTTTCCCGATCCAGTGTCTGATGGCTGAGATAATCTGCCTGCCAGTTTTCCTTGCCTGCCAAACACCTTGAATGTGTATGGTGGACAGAGCTGAAAATTAACCTTTCCACCCATTGTGAGATGTGAAACACCCCCACTTGGCACTGCTCACGAGAGTCTTGAAGGGTTTGGAACCCTTGGTCGAAGAAAAATCCGCAAAGCGCTTTGGGAGTACAAGTCAGACGACCCCAGTCCCTGTACACAAATTTGTCAAAATAAGCTGGGTAAGCCAGCTTGTTTGTTCCAAAGGGGACAGGCACTACATCAGACGCCCCAGAAGAGACCTCAAATTTTGGCATCTCTCGCATGAAGTCAATGAAGGGGGTGGGGGGGGGGGGGGTGACTAACGCCTTCTACTATGTAGCTACAGAAGCAGAAGAATCGTCCTCATCTAAGGAATCAGGGGATAAGTCATTGGGCTTCGCAGCAAAACACAGAACTGGTGTCAGCAGAGCCCAATTCGGGCTCAGAACAGTACGAGGATGAGGGGGATGGCAGGGGGCGCTTCTTGTCAGCCTTGTGCCCGCATATTGCCTCTATGCGGGAGACGAAGGGGACTGAGGGACTTGCCACCTCCAAGATTGGCTCCAGAGAAGCGTGTTCCTGAGGCTCAATAGGTTACACACCCCCAGGTAGGTACTGCTGCAATTAGGGATCCCACATGGTACCAGTACAGGAAAGAACACCTACAGGCTAGCCCAGCAGAGAGAGGGAACCCCCAGGGAGGACTCACCACCATGTCACCAGGAGCTGACAGAGTTGCCCACATGTCCTGCAGGTTGTCCCACACAGCTACGTGCCAGGAGTCCCAGAGACCGCAGATATACAGAAACAAAATGTAGGAGATGTCCTTTGTTGCGGGCTCTACAAAATGGCTGCTCAGGACCTCCCCCAGCCAGCTCTCATAGCCCAGACAGGCACAATGGCCACTGAGCATGTCAGCCACAAGATGTGTGCACCACCCCCAGCTGTCCAGTGTGCCGACCCCCCCCCCCCCCCCCCCCCCCCCCCCCATTGTCAAAGGAGGAATTAACCCTTTAGAATTTTGATCGGGACTGATTCATTAGTTCCTCCATAGCCATACATACTTTATATGGGGACACTCCCTATTATGACTGCCTGAATTTTCAGTTTACTATTGTGTAGTTATTGGCCCATTATTTCTGCAGTGGCAATTGCAAAAAATCCCAATATTCTGTACATAAGGGATACCTTGTTTTCCTTACCCACTTACATGCAGAATTTTACTGTGGTAAAACTTCATGTACGGTTTGATTTGGGTGTCCGGACCAACTTTGATTCTATTTGTCTGTCTGTTGCTTAGTGATTTTTCTACATGTTTTATTCTAATCAATGTTTCCATACAATGCTGGGTTTTTTTTTTATAAAACACTTCAGTCTCTTGGAGAATTTTTGATACAAGATGTATACTGTAATAAAAATGTTTAATTTCTTCCAGGAATCAGTCACTACTCTAGTCATTGAAAGTAACCACGTTTTTTCTACAAATATGGGGAATTTTTCTTTTGGTGCAGATTTATTGGTTACAATGAAAACACCTCTAGTTTGCTTTGAATAGTTGCGCCCCCCTTCCCCCCAGCCCAGGAATGCCCCAGGAAGGCCTAGATGGACCAACCGGCAAACTACAAGGAACAGGTAAGGACAGACCCTGAGGAAACAGGAGGGGGGGGGGGGGGGGGGGGGGGAGTGCGACTCACACCGCCACACCCACATACCTGGCAGGTCACTAACCAGGACCCGCACCCACCACTGCAGCCAACAGAGTCCCATATTTCCCCAAACCGGGAAGTTAGGGGTACAGAAGCCCAAGCCCAGAAGTGGGAAGGGAGAACACCGTAGAGACCAACCACCCCAGGGAGTACCAGCATCTACTTACCAAGCCAACAGAGAATGCAGGTAAGGCTCCCATGACAGATCCTCCTCTCCACCGAAGTGGGGGGGGGCTGTTGGCCAGGGTAACACTGACACAGACTATAGGCACCAGATCACGTGTGCTCTGTGTCCCCACTAGACGTTTAACTTATTGGCTGCCCTGGTCCAGGATGGGGCTTCTTGCAGCTGACCAAGAATAAAGTCTCAGCATAAAATTACATCTGCACGCCTGAAGAAACTAGGCAGAATGACTGGAGGCCTATAGCAGAGAGGGGGCTTTAGGCCAAGAGAAGACTGCCCATAAAAGTTGCCGAGTTTTTTTCTGCCTAGTGTCCTAGTCCTGTAAGTGGGGCTATGGGGAAACCTTACTTGGTCATGGATAAAGAAGAAATTGTGTGTCAATGGCGCAAGAGAAATACACAAACCACTGTGCTAGGGACTAATCCTACAGTATAAACACCAACACACACAAAATATCAAAAATTATTGTATTGTTACCTTTCCATAGAAATCGCTCATCTGCTCCAACGGTACATGGGAACCTTGGTACATTTCAATAACTTCTGAATCTTGCACAACATCAAATCCTCTGTAAGAGAGTCATGGTTACAAAGCTAAAATTTAAAATGTCTCATCACATCCTCCACAACCAGTACATTTATGAGAGGTGTACATTGTGATACCGTCAGGCAGTGGTGGCGAACCTATGACACATGTGCCACAGTGGCCATGCAGAGTCTTCTCTGTCGGCACGCAAGCCAAGTCACCCCAGTAGCCGAGCATGGAGTCAGGAGTGGCTGACCACTGAGGACAAGCATTAACACGACCAGGTCCTTCCAGCTGACCCCAGTCTATCATAACTACAGTGCCTTGAAAAAGTATTCATACCCCTTGAAATTTTCCACATTTTGTCATGTTACAACCAAAAACATAAATGTATTTTTAGGGATTTTATGTGACAGACCTTCCACATAATTGTGAAGTGGAAGGAAAATGATAAAATGGTTTTTAAAATTATTTTACAAATAAATAGCTGAATAGTCTGGTGTGCATTTGTATTCAGCCCCCTTTACTCTGATACCCCTAACTAAAATCTAGTTGAACAGATTGCCTTCAGAAGTCACCTAATTAGTAAATGGAGTCCAAACCGGTATGTAATTTAAACTCAGTATAAAATACAGCTGTTCTGTGAAGCCCTCAGGAGGTTTGATAGAGAACATTAGTGAACAAACAGCATCATGAAGGCAAAAAGGAACACACCAGGCAGGTCAGGGATAAAGATGGAGACGTTCAAAGCTTGGGATATTTCTTTATAACCTAACTGTGCTTTAAACATCTCACGGAGCACTTTTCAATCAATCATCTGAAAATGGAAAGAGTATGGCACAACTGCAAACCTACCAAGACATGGCAGTCCACCTAAACTAACAGGCCGAGCAAGAAGAGCATTAATCAGAGAAGCAGCCAGGAGGCCCATGATAACTCTGGAGAAGATGCAGAGATCCACAGCTCAGGTAGGAGAATCTGTCTACAGGACAACTATTAGTCATGCACTCCACAAATCTGGCCTTTATGGAAGAGTGGCATGAAGAAAGCCAATGTTGAAAGAAAGCCATTAACAATTTCCATTTCAGTTAGCAAGAAGCCATGTGGGGAACACAGCAAACATATGAAAAAAAGGTGCTCTGGTCAGATGAGACCAAACGTTTACGTTTTGGCCGAAAAACAAAATGCAATGTGTGGCAGAAAACTAACACTGCACATCACCCTGAACACACCATCTCCACTGTAAAACATGGTGGTGGCGGCATCATGTTGTGGGGATGCTTTTATTCAGCAGGGACAGGGAATCTGGCCAGAGTTGATGGGAAGATGGATGGAGTCAAGTACAGGGCAATCTTAGAAAAAAAAACCTGTTTGAGTTTGCAAAAGACTTGAGACTGGGGCGGAGGTTCACCTTCCATCAGGACAACGACCCTAAACATACAGCCAGAGCTACAAAAGAATGGTTTAGATCAAACATATTCATGTGTTAGAATGGCCCAGTCAAAGTTCAGACCTAAAACCAATTGAGAATCTGTGGCAAGACTTGAAAGTTGCTGTTCACAAATGCTCTCCATCCAATCTGACAGAACTTGAGCCATTTTACAAAGAAAAATGGGCAAACATTTAATTCTCTAGATGTGGAAAGCTGGTAGAGACATACCCAAAAAGACTTGCAGCTGTAATTGCAGCGAAAGGTAGTTCTACAAAGTATTGACTTGATGGGCTGAATACAAATGCATGCCACACTTTTCAGATATTTGTAAAAAAAAAAAAAAAAAAAAAAAATCTATCTATATATATATATATGTATATGTATGTATGTATGTGAAAACCATTTGTCATTTTACTTCCACTTCACAATTATGTGCCACTTTGTGTTGGTCTATCACATAAAATCCCAATGAAATACATATACGTTTTTAGTTGTAACATGACAACATGTGGAAAATTTCAAGGTGTATGAATACTGTATCTATAATATCTATAGGAAGTAATACCCAGTTTATATCTTTAGCATCCATACTCTTTACTGACCAACCAAAGCTAATCTTTATTTCTTCTCCATTAGATTCCTCACTCTGGAAATCCTTTGCGGCATGCAGTACCTCCATTGCTACAATATTTTAAGGTTTACTAAACCAAAGTCATTTGTAGTTATGGGTAAATAATGCTCGGTGGAATCACCATCACAGTTGGTATTTCTTCATGAATCAGAACAGATCCAGTTGTCTCCCCTCCCATGAAGTCTCATTTGATCTGCTGCAGAAGTCTAAGTGTTCCTGCCACATTCTCCTTGATGTAGGATTAAAGCCTGATCAAACTTGGTTTTAAATAAGCAAAATATACTCCAGTTGTATCAAAACAAAAATGCATTCAAAAGTCTTACAGTTCATTTTCTTTAGTAAGCAGCCAGTCTAAGCAAAAAAAGCCTGTTCCTCATTATCAAGCTATAGAGGACCCTTCATGCTCTCTGCAGATTGGAGGCCCCTAGCTCTGAATCACTGGAAGATGTGTTGGACCTTTACAGAGAGACCACAGCTTCCACACCATGCAAGGGTCCTTCCCAGCAGTATTATTGCAGGGGGTGGTCATTTCTTCCCAGGCTATGAAGACTGCCTAATGAAAACAAAAACAGGAAAAAAAAAAAAAACTTTGCATACCTTTTTTTGATGCATCTAGAACATATTTGATTTAAAAGCTGAAAGTTCAGTTGGGCATGATTAGAAAAAAATTCATCAGGAAAGCTTTTCATAAATTATTATACCAGGTGAGCAGAGTTGGGAAACTCGGGTCCACAGAAGAGGCAGCCAGCACCCACCCATAACTGAAATTTCCTTTTAATACATAGTTGCACATTTTTCATTTTTAAAATCCTCTATGCATTCATTTGAAAGCTGACAGTTGGGATTATAAATGGAATGCTGGATATTGGATTGAAAAGACAGTAATTTTCTGCCAAGTTCAAAGTGATTAATTATAAAGTCACACAAATTACACATACAAGGCTCAATTCATGAAGCTTTAAAAGAAAGAAAAAAAAAAAAAAAAAAAGGATAAAAAGATAAGAATCTTTTTTGTGGCTGATGTACTAAAGTAATAGACATGTGAATTGGGTGAGGCGGTGTTCACATCGAATGTCCAATCATGCATAAGGCAAACATTTAAAAACATGTTTGCGTGCACATCATTGGATAATTGAAGTCAACTTAATCTCATTCTCTAAGCTAAATGAAAATGCATTCTGTAAAGTGAATACTCACTGTTCTATACTCACAAAAGCTGTACGGGCTTAAAATCAAAGCAAATTATTAACACAATTTGCTACAAAATCAGGGGTGTCTCCTTCAGCAAAATCTCTGCAAAAGGTTTAGACCTGTGTAGCTCTATTCCTGGGCAGCCAAGTGTGACAGTTCACAAAGTGCAAAAAACGATTACTAAAGGCAAGACAGATTTCCACTATACATAGATGAACAATTAGGACCTGACCAGAGTCAGATTTTATTTAGTCGCAAGTGTGGACTTTAGTGCAGCCAAAAAGGAGCAAGTTCGAACTCAGGATGTAACCTTGTAATAAACTTGTCTCACTGCACCTGCTTAGCATTGCACTGCCTTGAATGATAAATATTTCCTCTTATTTCTGGTTTATTTTCTGTAAAATTTGATTAAGGATTGTTTATATATGCTTTTAGTTTCCATCAATGTAGCAGCAATGGTGAACGCTAGGTTCACACTAACGCAGCCTGCAAGTCCGCAATAGTGTGAACCTAGCCGAACTCCTCAATTTCCAGAAGTACTTCTTGACAAATTGTGTACACTAAATGAATGTTTGAAAAAAAATAAAAATGAAAAATTGTTGTATGAACAGAGATTCGCATCAGGCGTTTATATCCCTTTTCTAAATTAGTTTTTACTGTTATATATAATTAAGAGGTTTTTAAAATACATTTGAAAAAAATCCAGGCATCAGGCAATGCCAGACTGTACTTCTCTTATCCTAATTTCATCCTTGAAGACCCCTCCCAGCAAATGTCAACTATCTGAGACAGTGCTTGTGGCTGGTGAAAATATGCTTAGCAATTGTGGGATGGGGACTAGGCCACTTCTGCCTACTCTTCAGATAACCCCAAAGTCAAGATATTTTAAAGACTCCAATGTGATTGTGTGGATGTTTATGTAAAGGCAATGGTGTTACTTAGCACTGTATTGACTCCTATTCATAACGGATGTTGCTGCATTACATTTTTGAAAACAGAATTGCTTTATTTTTAAATTTCAGTCTTATTTTGTTTGATATTCTTAAGTTTGGAACTTTTTTTTCACTAGAACACAAGCCTGATTGTTTATTACATATAGTATACTGTAAACGTGATCTCATTAATGGATAATGAAACTGTGGAATGAAAATGAAATAGTTTCAAATGGCAGATTAGAAGAGATTACTTCAATATTGGGCAACTGTTATTTACGGATTGGAAATAAGAATGTGCTGACGCCAATTACTGCCAGTTAAATTCACTTCAGACCTCATTACATAGCCAAGAGTGGCTTAGCAAGGATAATAAACAAATTTATTTTGCAATCCTATTCTACTAAACGGTGACAGGAGTAATCTATAAAAGAAAGAAACAGCTAAAATTGTTCCATAATGTACCCTTATGCCCTTACACACGGGCTAATCAAGAACCCTCAACAAGGAAATGATAAAGAATGGTTTAAACCAGTACCTCAAAAACAGTGTACATTTCACTTTTGTTATTTATATTTACATTATAATACATTCGGTGGGTATAGAAAAGAATCACCCCCCTTTAAAATAATCACATTTTGTTGCTTTACAGCCTGAAATGAAGACAGTTTTTATTTTATCCAGCTGTATTTACTCAGTGCAACTTATAACATTCAAGTGAAAGAGAACACCAACATGCCAGGAGAAAAAAAAAAAAAAATTAAAAAACAGAATTAGGAGTTGGAAAAAAAGGATCACACCCTCCTAAAAATGACTTGTAAACTCAATCAGGTGTAGCTAATCACCTTCTCAATGGC